CTGTGTTCTGGCTAGAGAGTTTGCGGAGAGAATCAGGGCGGTGACCGCCGCGGGAGCGTGGCCCGCGGGTGACGCTCTGCAGCGGGAGGGCAGGAGGGAAAGGCTGGGCGCCACCGCAGGTGACCTTGAGCTGGGGCAGCTGTGCGGCAGAGTCTGACCGAGAGGAGCGGCTGTGGGGCGGGCGTGCGCTCAGCTGTGGCAGCTTCTGTGAATACAGCGAAGTGGGCGTTAAAAGTCCAAGACTGGGCCTCCCTGGTGGCCCTGGGGTTAAAGGGGTTAAAGTCTCTCGGCACCATCAAGCTTCCTCCAGCCTCCAGCGCAGCCCTGGCCAGGGAGGGACCCCCAGTACGCAGCGGGCCCCTTTTATCTCTGAGGCCTTTTTATTTTAGTGCTTTAAATTGTCATTCAAAATCACCTTTAAAAATTGATTATTTCTGCATACAGAACTGGGGTCCAGGCCAGAGGCGCAGGGGCGGTGAGAGGACTCACCAGAGGCAGAGCGGGGAGCAGAACAGGCCGACTGACAAGTACACTGTTGAGGGGCACTGGGGAGACAGGAGAGGTCCACTGCGCCCTGGGGGTCACTCCGGGGCGGGGATACACTTCACTCAGCTACGGCTGGGACGTGCCACCAGAAGGCCTCTCTGAGACCGTTTTAACTTTTACTATCGTGGTGCTGCTCATTGGTGAGCCCTAGTTGACCTTCAAGGGCACCTGCGGCATGTACAGTGTCCACGGGCGTCTGCTCTCCCCGCCGCCCCTCGGCCGTGGGTCTCAGTGGGCCCACCGGCCCCGCTCCCCACGCTGCCTCTGGGGAGCCCTCTCAGCCCCCGCTCCTCTGGCCTGCACCCCAGCTCTTGTGTGCGTAAATAAATACACCTTTAAAACAGTCAAAACAACAGCAGAAAGGCTAGAGCATACCTTGTACCTTGCCAGGTTTTCCAGGACGGCCAAGGAAACGTCACGGGGGTGCTTTGGGTGGAGAAATGTCTAGGCCGTGGGGCCTTCGAGCAGGGCCCTTCCTCATCGCAGCGTTCTCTGTATCTGCTAACACTTAGGCAGCCCGAGCGCATCTTGACAATGGTGTCAGGCTGCCCAGGCCGGTGCGGGAGGCGGGGAGGGCGGCGCCCAGCTGGGGCCCAGCGCCCGCGGGTGCCAGCTGGCGCAGCGACGCTCTGAGGCTGCGCTCAATCTCACCGCTCTTTCTGCTGTCAGGCTGTGCTCCTGGAAGCTGGAGCGCTCCGCGGACTCGCGTCTACAGTTTCTCTTTCTGCAGCATCGGGGAAGAGCGAGAAGGGACAGTCACCAGTTCCCAAGAAACAGAGCCCACCCAAAAGTAAGCGGCTCCTGCGCAGGCCGAGGGGCGCGTGGGATGGGCGGGGGTCAGCCCCCGGGTGGGCAGTGCGGGCCGGGAGCTTCGAAACCTGGTGCGTGTTTCCACAAGGGTCCGGTCACCGCCAGACGCGAGGCCTCTGAGGTTGCAGGTGTGGGGTGAGCGCCAGGCTGCGCCCCCGCAAGGCTCGAGCCCGCGTGCGCCCAGGTGGCATCACGTGGGGTGTCCGAGGTCCCGGGGTGCCCCACCCTGCTCGCCGGCAGGCACCGTGCACCGCGGGGCGCCCCTCCCCCGGCCCGTCCGTCCCGGGCCGGGCCGTGCCTGCTGTCCAGGCCCCTCACGTGTGCTGCTGCGGTCTGTGCTTGCCGCCGCGGGACTCGGACACGCCCGTGGCATTGTGCTGGGAGCCGTGTCCTCTCGCGGCGGCGAGTGTGGACCATCGCGGTGCCCTCGGGTCGCACCTGCCCGGCCGCCCTCCTTCTGAGACCTACTTTGCTTTTACCTGTAGTTTCTAAGAAAGGGTCTTACGTAGGGACTCTTGTTAAACGCCGTCACCACGCCTCAGAAACGCCCCCCGCACAATGGCGACCCCCGCCTGCGGTGTGCCGGCTGCGGCCTCCCCCGCCTTGGCCACGTGAGGCCCTTGCCCCTGTGAGCGAGCGGGTGGCGGCCGGTTATGGCGCCGAGCTGGCGCTGTCCTGGGCCCGTGGCGGGCCCTGCAGGCCCGGAGCCGGGGACTGTCCCGCCTGCCCGGGTGGGGGCGGCCCAGCGTCTGGGTGCGGAGGGGAGCGGGTCCCCTCCCCCCGTCGTCTGAGGGGGACGAGAAGCCTCCTCGGGGGTCAGGTCTCTGGCGTCAGAGGCAGGGCCTGGAGTGGGGCGGGGGCTCCTTCCCGGGGTGCCCGTGCAGAGGCAGCGCCCCGCCATAGCGGCTTGGGCCGCGCTGTGGGCCGGGTAACTCCCGCGCGACCTCAGAGTACGTCGAGGGGCGGGGGTCAGCTGCTGTCCGCGTCCTCCGCTCTGGCTGAGGCGGCGTCTCTGGCGCCGGCTCGTCCCCGCAGCGCCAGGGCTGCCTTTGCTCCCAGCCGTCGGCCCGCCGGCCCGGCGCCCGCAGAGCCGCGGCGCGAGATGCACCCGCCGTCCTTCGGGCCCGTGTAGGCCCGGGGCCATCCGGCCTCAGAAAGCGCCTGACTCGCGCGTTCCTGAGAGCCAGCAGCCCCGGGCCGGCACAGGAGCGCGGCGCTGCCTGGGGCCAGGAGCGGCCGGCGGTGTGCCTTGGCGTCCCTTTCGCCTCCATGAGGGGCCCCCGGCCCCCTGACACGGTGTGGAAACCCTGGGGGGGGCAGTGCTGGCCCCGGCCGCCCTGACTGGCCTGACTCAGTAGCTGCAGGCCGAGTCCCTTTGGTCTTCCAGCACGGTCACTCTCGCTCGAACTTGTCCAGCTGCTACGTCCTATCAGGCAGATGGGCGAGCCGCCACGGGGGCGGGCCAGCGGTGCCTCTTCGGCGGGGGCTGCCCATCTGGGCCGCCCCGGGTCATCGCGTGGGCCCTGCTGCCCG